AGATGTTATCAAATCATATTGCAGCTGCATCAAATTGTCTTCAATACATTCTGTTAGTGCTACCCGGCGTATGCGTAATGCTGAGCTCATTTCTTCCTTTTCCTCTGCTGCTGCTGCTRCTACTTTTTTTTCCCCTTTTTGCTGTCAATGGAAGACAAATATTTGTGTGCAATGCATTGCATAGTTTTCGGAGCCAGCTGTCAGTTTATTGATTTGCCAGCTGTGCAGGGGATGTCTGAATGCGTTGGCTGTAATTGATTTTGGCTCAGCTCTGGAGAGAAGTAATTAAAAATCTTGTGGCAGCTTGTAATGAGTTATGTGTGGCAAGCTGAGGCAGTCATAAATAAAGGGCAGCACATCACGTAGATGCCATAGCAAAAACCAAAGAAGGAAGAAGAAAAATCAAACCAAATGTTTTCGAATTTATTAAAGCATAAATCATAGCACAACAACAAAATGAAATTAACAATGCAATTCAACTAAACAGCACTACGAACCGAGCAAAGAAATACAAATAAAATTAAAAATAAAACATTTTAGACTCCCTTCAGACACGCGTCGCATAGCCCTGCATGTAGAGCCCGCCAGTCCCKCCCACATTATCGACCACAGCGCCAGCCACGTAGCTGCTGCCCGACGCCGTGGCCGCCTGCAAGTCCGCCAAAATTTCATCATCCATCATAACATTTACCTGCGAGTAGATGTTCGGCTCGGCTCGCTTCAGGTCCGTCTGCCTCGGCCGTCCCAAGGTGGCGCTGCAATAGGGCGTCAGGCGCTGGACGCCGCCAACGCCAACGGCATTGCCCACCAGTGGGGCACCAGCCAGCTCGCTATAGCTGAGCTCAGTCTGCAATAGAGGGAGACAGAGATAGAGATAGAGAGAGTGAGAGTGAGTGAGTGGAAACTTTCAATATGCTGAGTCAATCACTTTCAATTTGCCCGCCAGTTGCATAATTGTCGAGTGTGAAGTTTGGCCACAGCGAAGCTAAGCAAGACCTGAGCTCTGTTCAAGCGTGGAGCGTAAAGCCCCAGAGGCTAGTGAGCTGTTCAAAGTGTAATTTGATTAAAATCAACTATATTTATACATTTTATCAATTGAGCTCTTTTGGGGCTCTCACAAAGCGCAGGGGTATTCAAAGGCGTTTGATTAGCTGTTTGTTTAAATAATTGACTTCAAGACTTAATGATAAGATTATAGCATCTTATAAAATATTGTATATAAATTTGAAGTTATGTGAAAGCAGCCGAGATAGCAAGTGGATTAAATAGTGGGTGTGGTAGTATAATTCATAAATATTCATAGGAATGAAGATTCATAATGAATGAATACAAAAATATTATGTTTTATATTTAATAAGACATTGAAAACTGAAATAATGAGCAGTTGAAATTTGTATTTTATGGTGTGTGTGTTATATTATCTTATATTTTGCAGGTAATTTTTAATTGTAAATATATATTTATTTATTAATTTTTATTTTTCGAATAATANATAATAATAATATTAAAAATAGTAATTATTAGGCTTACAATTTTGCTCTATGACTGGATAATTCTTTACACTGTCTAATTCCACTTCACAACTCTCATTTTACGCTTTCAGCCAGAAATTTGAAATTGCTTAAATAGCCGTCAATCAATCAGTGCCTACGAATCAACAAGGCGCATTGTTTCACAAATTACATTTGAGCAAGCGAAATCTGTCTTAAAACTTGGAAAAATAATTTCTGAGCTCTGCTCTTCACACCTTAACCAGTTTTGTGTTGGTGAGGAGGCGGGGCAGGGGCAGGGCGCTTTGGGTTTTATGTCTTGCTGTGTGTACGGCACATAGCCAGCCACGCCCACTGCCACTGCCCTGGCGAAATGCTCACATGAAACGCCTGTTTGTAATGTGTCTGGGCTGTGTCCTGCCCTCGCCCCTTCACCTCCCGCCCAACCCCAGCAACCAGCAGCCACTTTCAGTTAGCAGCTGCAGCCACGAGCTGAGCACGGCGCACACTTGCCGTTTATTGCATTTTGAGTTTTCAGGCAACAGAAGCAACAACAAAAACACACACACACACAGACTCACACATACACAGTTAGATAGAAAGTGCGCGCAGCCTCTGCCAGCTTTGCTCCTTAGCGCTGCTTTTGCTCGTCTGGACGCTTGTCCGCCTGCAACTTATTTTTATTAAATTCGCAAATGGGAAATTTATATTGCTACAGCTACAGCTGCTGCTGAGGCTCYTCCTTGCCGGGCATGTCCTTGTTGTTGCCAGTGGGCGTGGCAGACACACACCCAAACACATACACAGGGGCGAATTTCTACTTAAATGATTTTCAAATTATGTTGGTTTTGCTGCAGCAACTGCGGCTGCTGCCACGCCCCCATTGCTCGTTGTTTTCTATTTATCTGCGCGACCTTCACCGATTTTGTCTGCTGAGTGTTTTGGGCGGATTTTAGCTTGCATTCTCGCCAAACGATAAAACATATACAAGTGTGTATATATATAAATATATATATATATATATGTGTTAGTATTGCTGTTGCTTGTTGTAGGTGTTGCCCATGAAATCGCATAGCTGGCGCCAAAGATTTTTTAGGACTTTCGTTTGTTGGTTTTTAAAATTATGTGCGATTATTTTCAGTGTTTGGCTGCCTCTAACCAGGTGGCCACAGGTCAAGGCAGGCTGACATAATTAATTTAATTCTGTAAATAGGCTAAGGAATTTTGGTATAGAATTTCAGTTTGCCTGGCTACCTGGCTGATTGATTAGCACAAAGAAAATTAAGTATTTGGATGGGTTTTTACTTGAATGGAATGTGGAAAATGAGTGGGAGCTAAGACTATAATAACTTACTCTAAAGTAATTTTATTTTATAGACTGATGAAAGCATAGTCCAGTTCATTAAGCATATATTTATAATCTATTCAGCTAGCTGAATTAAGCATCTTCAGCTAAGAAACAAGAATTCAATTCAAGTTTTAGAGATCATATGCAGAAGAATATCATAAAATTATTAATATATTCACAATCGACATAACTAATTGAATAAAATATATACATAATAATAGACTTGAGTATTTGTATAGCTCGAACATAATCTAGAAAATGACAAATGCCATGGATTTTTATATATGCATTATTATAGAGTATATAGAATAAGCTCAGCATTTTTAGATATCTGTCAACATGTATATATATGTATCTGTACATCTGACAGAACTTTATCTAGAGAATAATAAATATCTTGGAATATATATTTGTACAATCTTAAATTTTATACATATCTGCTATAGTTTTATACAGTAGAATATTCTTATAGCTCATATGCAGAGCATCAGTTGGCCATATTAGAAATGGTCGTGCAATAAATATTTTTATAGTTCATATGTAAAACGAGCTCAAAGTTTATAGAGATATCTACTATAATTTTATATATAGTCGTATATTCTTCTAGCTCTTATAGAGAGCCAGCTCAACATTTATCGATATAATTTTATCGATTTATTTTGATGGCAATTNATAGACTGATGAAAGCATAGTCCAGTTCATTAAGCATATATTTATAATCTATTCAGCTAGCTGAATTAAGCATCTTCAGCTAAGAAACAAGAATTCAATTCAAGTTTTAGAGATCATATGCAGAAGAATATCATAAAATTATTAATATATTCACAATCGACATAACTAATTGAATAAAATATATACATAATAATAGACTTGAGTATTTGTATAGCTCGAACATAATCTAGAAAATGACAAATGCCATGGATTTTTATATATGCATTATTATAGAGTATATAGAATAAGCTCAGCATTTTTAGATATCTGTCAACATGTATATATATGTATCTGTACATCTGACAGAACTTTATCTAGAGAATAATAAATATCTTGGAATATATATTTGTACAATCTTAAATTTTATACATATCTGCTATAGTTTTATACAGTAGAATATTCTTATAGCTCATATGCAGAGCATCAGTTGGCCATATTAGAAATGGTCGTGCAATAAATATTTTTATAGTTCATATGTAAAACGAGCTCAAAGTTTATAGAGATATCTACTATAATTTTATATATAGTCGTATATTCTTCTAGCTCTTATAGAGAGCCAGCTCAACATTTATCGATATAATTTTATCGATTTATTTTGATGGCAATTTCAATCGGATTGACAGCAGAGTAAGCACTCTTAGACACACTTCTTGCTTTAAAATACTTTTTTAATTTTTTTTCTTCCAGGGGAATACAAGAAAAAGAGGGAAGATTACTTTCATCTCGAATTTATTGATGGCTATTCAGCAACTATTTGTTGTCTGGGCCGCTGTGTCTGTCGATCCGTTTCTCTGGCAACAACAAGGTGGCCATCAATTGCGGCTTAAATAATAAACTGCTTGCTGGCCATAAAAACCACTTAACCCGAAATATGCGAAAAGTAAGAACGGCCACAGCGAGCAGCAAGTGGCTGGAGGGCTGGCTCGCTGGGCCAGGTGGCAGGTGGCAGGTGGATACATCTGTGGCCACCCTTGGTCACCCTGGCCAACGGCTGGCCACCCTGGCTATAAATTAAGATGGCTGCCAACGCGGCCATATTGTAAAAGGTTAAATGTTTGACTGTCGGCTAAGTGCGGATTAGGGCTCAGCCGGGCATAACTCACCTTCTGTTGGTGCTGCTGCTGCTGCTGTTGTTGCTGCTGCTGCTGTTGCTGCTGCTGCTGATTGGCATAAGCGCCCATTTTGCCAACGGGTATAAGCGTATTATATTGTATGTACTGGCCGTGGGCTGTGGGCGGGCCAGTCTTCTTGTCGACCACGGCATACGTGGGCATGATGTGATCGTAGGTTGTGGAGGTTATCACGGCGTTCTGCTCGGCCAATGCGGCCGTGGCATAGGCACGATTGTGGCCCTTTGTTGTCCACTCGTCGTCCACGTCGTGGCCATCTGCAAAGGAGTCGGAGAGTTCGAATCAGAGCTATGTAGCAATGTCCAGGAGTGGCCACAGAGCTGGCCAGCTGAATGCTAGAGGATGTGCCCACCTTGCGGTATTATGTCCGGATTCTTATCAATGCTGTCCAGGCTGCTCGTCACGTGGCACGTCTCCCGGCCGATGCGATGCATATCCTGCACTGATTGGCCACCATTGTGCGCCAGTGTGCCGATGCCCAGGCTGCCATTGTTGTTGCTGCCGAGAATGCCGAGGTTGCCGTTGCCGTTGGCGGTGCTGCTGCTGCCGCCGTTGCCCGGATGCGAGTAATTATTGCGATCGCGTCCCGACGAGCCGCGCACCCGCACCACCACCACGATGATGAGTGCCACCAGAAATAAACTGCCCACAATGCCGGCCAGTATGCCAAGGAATGGCCGGATGTCCTCGATGAGGGGCCCATTGGCCAGCGATAGGTCTGCRTGTCATGGACAGSAGTCGGTGGGGGTGTGGGTGTGTGTGTGTGKGKGGGAGCATAGGTCGGGCAGCATTTGGAGCAGAGAAAACAGAAAACGGAGAGAAAAAAATGGAAAAGAGAAAATTCGCAGGATAAGCGCGTGCTACAATAATTTTACGAGAATGCATTGCATATTTTTCTGCCTGTCTTTATTCTCGCATATTTTTTGTTATCCCTCTCACTCGACGGCTCTCTCTCTCTTTCTCTTGCCTACCCCCGTTTTTGCTGCTGTTTTCTTCTTTGCATTGTTTTATGAGCTGCTAACTACGTTCCGTTGTCGGCCCCGGCTCCGGCTCCGGCCCCAGCCCCGGTCCCGGTCTCTGGACCCGTACTCATTGTTGTTGTTTTCGTTGTCGGTCCCCAGTTCCTGCTGCACGTGCTTGGAATTTAGTGCCGCTTTAATGAGCTGCATGTGTGTGTTAGTGTGTGTGTGTGTGTGTCCAGTACGTGTGTGGTCCGTTGTAAGCCGCTCAGTGTTAAGGTTGCTAATTTTTGTCTCAGCCGGCGGCGGCATGTCGAGCATTTTTAGTAGCCAAAGCCAAAGCCCAAAGCCAAAACCC